AGACAGACAGACAGCAGAGAAGCAGCTTACAGTCAGACCAGCTCCACACTGGACCAGATAACTGCAGTCGGTGTGAAATCAGTCTGTTTGTCCTAATAATTATCTATGAGGACTCTCGTCAGAGGTTTATTTAACTCTTTAATGCCGCTGATTTGATTTTATGTCATGATCACAATGTCCTACAGTCTGTGTCTGGGTGATAAACCTCAATACTGGATCAATACTGACTGATTATTAGTAAGAGAAGTAATATCGGACTGGTTTCCAGTCAGGATCCCATCAATACAAAGAATAAGAATATTTTAACTTTTATCACATTTTTTGGAAGTTGGAAGGGAAGAAATAGGGTCGGCTGTTTATATTGATCCCTGTTTGATCATTGATCGACTTTATGATCCTAAAACCTAAAAATAAAGGAAAGGGGTTTTTTCAGGAGCGCGATTCATCGTGCAGCCCTGATATAATTATATAAATGTGATGAGTCTCTCGTCCTCAAATAAAGAGATTTTAACTCAAAACATTATTCCGGCACATTAATAGAGCACTGAAATATCTAAAGGTGGTATTAAAAATCAATAAATACTTTTATTTTCCAAATAAACTAAAATGTGGCCGTAACAGATCATTAACTTTTATTTCATTTTTTAGGATGTTCTTTCCTTTAAATAAAACAAAAATAAATGAACCACCCGTCTACAAAGCTGCCGTCACATGGTGCATTAAAATACCAACAACCTTTCTTGTACTTCGGTTATTGATCTATAAATCTGCAGAGCGTCTGTCATTATTTATTATAACCTGTACATATACTAATGTTACACTGGGAGAACCTGATCTGTGTCGACAAGGTTTTAGGACTCTGGAGGAGGTTTTGGTCCAGGTGGAGCATTGAGAGAGAAAAATATGAACACAGTCAGAAAATGACAATCAAAGCAAAAAGTAGAAAATATTTCTGGCAAATGCAAAAGCGTCAAAGCCACAAAGAGGAAAATTAAAACTGAAACAACAATAATCCTGGTTTATGATTTTTAAATGATGAATCAACAGAGCTGCTGGTGGCGCCTCGGGTCGCCGACAGAACTTGAGATCTGAATCAAAACACAGAAACACCGAGAGGAGCGAGAGGCAGGGAGGAAGAGGAGGAGGAGGAGGAGGAGGGAGAGGAGGGAGGAGGGAGGAAGGTGTTTGTTACTTTCTGCACGAGCACAAATCTGAACTTTTATTGAGATCTTTCTAAAACCTAAGACCTCCACTAGGGGTCGCCAAAAATTTACAGGGGGGTCACGAGGCCTTTTAAA